TAGATGTGATGGGGAGGGACAGAGAATGGTTTGCGTGGGCAGAGGCGATTGGGTTGCGTGGGCAGAGGCGGATGGATTGTGCGCATCTAACCGCGGAAGGAGTTAATCAGTTCAGGCGCTGCGCGTGGTCGCCATAAGATCGTCTTATCGGTTGTCGTCGACAACGACAAAACGATACAATTTTTCACCCCTGGTTAGTACTGAAAAAGCTCTTGTAATATGTTTCGGAATCATTAACAATGCCATGTAATAACGTTATGAGGATTTCAGAAATCGGCAAGTCTTTTTCCCGAATATTTGGGAAACAGGAACGCGTTGATTGCAAGAGCAAAACGGTGAAATAACTCACGATGCAGCATGATGTCAATACATACATCAGAACATTTTAACTAGAAAAGGGAAACTTAATAACTAACTAAACGTATTTGACAGACACTGTAAAAATATGGATAGTGTCGCCAATGAGGGTAAGGATATTACAGCTGGTGAGGGTCCAGTCGGAAAAGCATAACGAATTCATACAGAAGTTTGCTATATGGTTGAACATATGAGGGTTTTATACGGGTTTCACTAGCTTGATTCCAGAGAACAAAACATTGAAGTCACCGAGAAGAGCGTCTTAACCCTCGCCCGTAAACGGCGATCTGCCACCTTCGCCCATGCAGGGGGGGGGGGGTTGGTGCGACCCCCCCCTTGGCGTTTGAAAACGGAGCGTCGTAGAGCTTAGCGGAAAAGACCATCGGATTGCTCTCGCCAAGATCTCGCGATTGGTGGTATATTTTTTGGTCCTAGGTCAACATTTGACCTACTTTTGACCGGTCAAAGGTCAAATTTTCGGAAAAATAGACTTTTTTCAACTTTCCGCGGCGATTGCGGCAAAACGGTGGGAGATATCGACTTGAAACCTTCACTATCGTGTTCCTTGATCAATTCTCTATCGTTTGGTATGTATTCCGTTTCCCTAGCTCTAAAAATGGCGCGTTGGGAGCGCCGGAAGTCGGCAAGGTCACAGTCGGCGGCAGAAATTCGAAAAATCAAAATTTAAATTTTTGAAATCTGTTTGTGTTTTTGGATTTGGGAGGTCCATTTGCTCCCTATAGAAGCTAATATTGCTGCATATTCCCATTGAGGTGACAAGAATTAGCAAAATAGTGGTTCGGGCGCTTTTCAAAAATAGTACCGGACGCTGTTCCTCTTGTGACGTCATAGCTTCGTGACCTGACCTGACCCGGTCAAGTTTCTTATACCATATGATAGCCAATACTTGCCCCAACATGCATGGGAAGTTTCATCACGATCCATCAACCCATGTCCGTACCACCGGCAGGAAACCTCGGGCGTTGGCACTCAGTTTGTGAAAATCCGGCCGGAGGCTGTTCCCTTTGTGACGTCATAACTCCGTGACCTGACATGACCCGGTCAAATTTTTTTTTTATCAAAAGATGCGCAAGGTTTGCCCCATAAGGTACCCAAAATTTGGCGGCGCTGCGCGCCGCCGTTTTTGCACTATTTCCGAAAAACCTCAGGGGGAGGGTTGCACCAACCCCTACATGGGCGAGGGTTAAGATGCTGCAAAGCGATGACAGCTACTTTGGCTTTCGCTAAGTGACGATAAGTGCATGGTAGTAGTACATTGAAGCAGCATGGCTATGGCCTTATATTAAAGTCCCGAGTCCCGACACCGTACTAAACAAAAAAGAAAAAACAGTCACAACCCAAAGAGCACTATCATTCGTCTACATACACTAACGAGATATCTTCCTACAGTAAAATGAAGCGCTCACAACGAAGTGAGAATCAACAGTGAACGGTAGTTGGACCCCAATTATTCCTAGGGAAACATAGACACATTATACACCACCTACATGAATTAAATGTGACAAAGCACTGTGTGCAAAATCGAACGAGATCGGATCGGTTTGATTGCTTGAAATAATGGCACAAGGTTAGCTGTGATCTCATAATAGGAGGTGAGCCATCAGTTAGTTCAGTTTGTATTGTATCTTAAAACTATTGCAATAGGGCTCTGACTGAGTTTCAATGTGAAACAGCTGAGGTATATTGGCACTGACACGTTTGGGTTGAATGCTGGAATTTCCTTTGAAGTTGGGATGTACGTTACCTACTCATTTACACGTAATTTCATGCTAGAAGTGTTTGCGTTGGTGTACCTATGAATATTCTTTTAGATAGTGTGCTACCGGAACAGGCGCACATTGGCAACGAAAAGTGTCATGTGGTGTCACCGTCGAAGAGCAAATGCGAAACCAGTGGAACCAGCAAGATGGTCAAGAGGTAATGCTCGTAATTTCCTCTCAGCTTAGCGGAGATAACTGCTTCAGAAGGTGTGTTGACTGTTGTACGAGAGGGAGGTAATTAGGTAATTAATTGACTTTTTACATGTATGTCTGAGGTAGTAGAAAGTTTGTCCCTTAGGTGGGGCTCTCACTGACACTGGTGAAAAATGACGAGGTACTGTGTTTCGAATATTGCAACTGTGTTTAAAAGCGTGTGACGTAGATCCGGTATAAGCACTAGTGAAAATTGAACAGATTTAATTTTCAATGGACCCGAGATTGCTCATCGAAGGAATCATTGGAGCACTGATATGATGGGAGCAACATCTTGAATTACTTATTTTCGTGTTTTGGTAATTAATTATTCGTGCTGAGCTGACAACTATGCTTATACTAAATGTCGCCTGAATAAGGTTAAGCCTGCTTTAAAAATTGATCAAGTCCGAGCAGCCCGAGTATAAAGCTGGGTAATGACATCGCCTGAGACGTCAGCACGCTCTGAGATGTGGAGTGCTTTTACAAATAAGGTCGCTGAGCCACTCATGACAACAAAAATTGGCTACCTAACTCTACATTACTCCCACAACTATACAGGGACAAACAGACCTGCCAATCACTTGCATCTAGCCTGTGAAACCGATTCACGAAGAAACACTCGCAACAAGCAAAATAACAGCTTTTTGGATGTTACGACGTTCATCGCCCGAGGGTATTTTCCCACACCTGCCACCAGGTGGCGTTCATCACTGGGTGACGTCATCACTAACGTCCAATCACCGTTCACGCTTTGCCAGCGTTCGTAAGTGCCAATTCTAAAGCACCGCTCATAGCGTCCAAATATTCGCTCAAAGCGTCCAAAGGAGATCTGACCACGCATGTCATGACTGTGCGATTGTTCTTTCTATCACCAAAGTTGCTCACAGTTCGAAGCGTATCTCTCGTAGTTGTCTAACTTGACCATCGACCACCGCGTGCCTCTCCTCTACACAACTGTTTATCGATATGTGACGTCACGTCACATTTTATCGTTTCACTTCACTTCCATCTCTCCTCACTATGGCAAAAGTTTGCCGTTTTTACTATCAGGTGATTTTATCACTCAGCAATGATTTACCAGCAGCATTGTGCATTCCACACCATCTTCGAGCATCTGTCATTCTATGCTCGTGGCTCATTTTGATTGGTTGTTGGCTAGTAGACGGCGACGCCGATTGGCTGACTCCCTGATGCCGGAGGTTGCGATTGGCTGGTTTCCCTGAGGCGCGCTATGTGATTGGCTGTGCCGTGCCACGTCATTGAGGTCCGGTGACCCCCGTGGGGTCGCTGCTGTCTGCGCCGTGCGCCTGTAAAACATGGGTTGGTATGAGTATGCTTGGTGAAGCTTCGCTTGATCTGACATAGAATGGCGTGCGTGACATGGCTGAGTTCTTATTGTACAAACGTATCTCATTTTTTAATCACTGTCTCTTATATCATAACTGCATATCATTTCTCCATTATCATGTAGAAATGGACGACCCTCCTGCGGCCTACATTCTACCACTCACAAATGAACTTTGATAGCGCCCAGAACCTATCAACAATGGGATTTAGAGTACACGCACACACTGTCGTATGAATTGCAATGCATCTTGAATTAAATCGGGCCGCTTTGACTTAACCCCTCCCATTTGGTATAGCGCAGACCACTGGGCACCACCGACCTCGGCTGCGGTGCTGCCGTCTGGCGGTGACCCGGCGAACTCATCACCCGGCTGCGGACTGCTCCCCTGACTGTGGGTCACCATATGCTTGGAGAGGTAGTCACCGCGAGCAAACCGCCGAAAACAGACGTTACACTCGTACGGCTTCTCGCCTGTGAAAACAAGAGATACAAACGAGGCTCACAGGCATGATGGGTTTATAATCGTACTCAGAGTGATTACAAATAAGACGGTGGAAAGATTTGCTCCTGTAGGAACGAAAACAGGGCCTTCTGGCATTTATTATGAATACACAGTGCCTAACAATAGAAAAACATATTCGTATAAGCATTGGAAAACAAAAGTCAGTCTCGCATACTCGTACTGTTCGTTGGCCTGTCAAATGCCACCAGAAGAGAACTGGATTTATTAATTTCTATTTTATTATCGTTGGCCCCTCACCCGTATGTACGCGCAGGTGCCTGTTGAGATCGGATTTCCCAACGAACTTCTTATCACACATCCCGCATTCGTACGGTTTTTCCCCTGCGGTGACACAATAGGGATATAAGTCCTAGCTAAGTAGCTATATTTTTGGTGCCTATTGCCTAGACATAAACAGGAGGGAGTCTTTGCGTTATAATTATTTATACATGCTCTATAGAAATTAGAAAATCCAAAATGAATGAGATACTCAAACATGCGAACGTCTGTCACCATAAGGATAGTGCACGCCTAATTATGTAATACTTATCAAGTAAATTCGGACATGATGCGTGGTGCTAGCCTATTGCATAATTGTTTTCTACAGTAACCTCTCAATTTAGATGAATTGACAAGACATAGTGTGAATTCTACCTGCTGTTTTACCTGCGGTGAAAGCACGAGCTTATTTGCCCTTTTCTCACCTGTGTGAGTTCTTATGTGCAGTTTGAGATTCTCCTTTCCCTTGAAACCCTTTAGACAGTAGGGACAAATCCAGCTCTTTTCACCGCCCTGAGTCGCGTCTAAAATCTGCGAGTCAGTACCTAGAATGGGCGAAAAGGCGTACCGGTTATGGTAGAATATAAATTTGAGTAAAGTAACGCGGAAGAACTTCACTATGAGGGACCAACGATATTTGCTGATTCCAATACCCTATTACGCCAAAGCTCATTGTCTTACGTGTATCACAGCACCTTCTATACATTCAACACCTGGTATACAGGCAAGATAATCGGGTACGAACTACATCTTCTTCAGCAAATCCACAACCACCTGCCGTCCACACTTTTGTCTCTCCCAAGCACTACCTCTACGACCCGTCTCATCAGTCTGCTTACTCACCCCGGGAACCCTTCCCCTCCACCCGCCCATCCTGGTAACCCTTCTGCTCAGCCTACCCACCCTTGCCCCCCCCCCCCCCCCCCCCCCCGCCTCCCCTTCCTCGCATCTCCCTCCCCGCCTCCCACTATCCTTACATCCCCTCCCCCTCCCATACCCACCCTGCATGGCGGCGGCGTGCTCCAGACCCTCCGGGTCCGTCGGAGCGCCCTGGGGCTCGTGGGACCCTCCCGCTGGCGGCGTGTCCGGCCTCTCCGTCTTGATGGCGGTGATGGTGATGCTGTTGGACTCCTCCGCCACCTCCTTCAGCGACAGACCCTGCGGGGAAGGAATGCGTGGGAGTTGTGGCGATTAGAGATGTGGGGCTAATGTGAAGGCAATAATTTTTTAAAATAAAGATTGATGTAATTATGAAATTAAAACAATTTTTTGCGCATCGTGATGCCTTGACCACAATATTTTCTTGTCATCTACCCCATACACCTCGCTGTTACTTGCTTAAGATAGAGAAAGGTTTAAAGAAAGATTTCGAATCAAACATAAATATAATCGCAAGTTCGTCGAGTTCGTCTTCACCTTTAGGCTCGTCGCACTAAGGATTCAATTTTGCCTTATGTATTCCATGGCCACACACCGACCCGTTACCTTATTATCGCTGATAAGCTGTCTCGGTACCACTGGCACCGGCGGTGGCGGTGGCGGCGGCGGGGGTGGCGGTGGCTGGGGTACCGGGGCCGCCTGGTGGGCCCGGTAGGTGGCGTCCATGGTCTCTGGCGTCAGACAGGACGCCGCTGGACCGGGTACCTGCAGCTGACAGAGAAAAGAGGTCAGAGGAGAGATGCCGAAGTTCAGAGAGGTTCAGGTCAAAGGAGAAATCAAACGGCTCGGGATAGCAAGTCGATATGTTACATGGAAATGAAAGGGCAATGGCCAACACATAACAAAGATATTCATAATACAACAAAATGAAAACAGATGCTTCTTATTCTCAAGAGCCTTGCAGTGTTTTATTTCTATCTAAGCTTAAGAGTTTGTCAGGTACATATATCATCCAAGATGTTCCTGTACGATCAGCAATTGTTCTTCAGTGGTACGGCTGCACAAGCTCTGGGTGATTTCGCGGCATTTACCACTCACCTGAGGTACCGTGGGCGGAGGTGGCGCCATCCCAACGCTAGTTCGCGGGAACTCCGCCATGCCACCGGTGGCGCTGTCGTCGCTAGTGTTCAGAATACGGTCTATGGCCTGTTGGGCAAGAATGTGCGAGCTTATGAAATACGTGCCGAGCTCCTATTGCTTACAGTTTAAAATAACAATCAGATTCCTCTTGTTGATGTCCCATGACAGCATAAATACATGGTGCAGGTGACAAAAGTTCGCCAGGAGATCCATGGCCATTTACAGTTCACCGACGGTGCTTTGCTCAGTGACCGAGCCCTTTCATCATGAGCGCTGTTCGGTCGCCGTTTGTCTACCAGCATGCTACCGGTTTGCCAGGATTTCTCGGCCTCTGGTGAAAATCAGCTGGGCTGTGCCTTTCAATGAGAGGCCGAGGGACACTGGCAAGTGATTCACGCTCTTTATGTAACTCTGTTCCTTCTTACTTTGTGAGACTACAATCAAATAACTCACACTATGATTGGCTCGGTGTTTGTGGAAGCTCTTGAGGTACTTAAAGAACTGTCCGCAGACCTCGCAGCGGTAGGGTTTCTCCTGGGGCAGCCGGGCCGTGTGGTTCATGTCGATATGACGCTGGTACGCCGACTGGTACTTGTACCTGAAAACGGGGGACAAAGAGGGTCAGGTAGGACGGGTAGACAAGGTCATAAGAGGGCTCGAGCGGACACTGTTCCGTGGTTTTCATCCTCAGGATAGTCAAATCCTTCTCCACGCCTCAACTCCCTGCTCCTGGCTGGGCGGCTCACTAAGGTGCCACTGCCCGCCCAGACTAATGTCTCCCCTAATTCCTATCATCCTTCCGGCTCTGCAATGGTCTCGGCAGACCGAAAGAGCCTACCTCCTCCCCCTCCAAAAACAAAACTCGAGTGGAATTGATTGTGAACGGGGATGTTTCTTTTTTTGCATGGCTAGCAAATTTCGTGTGCTACCAGTAACTGCACTCGTCGATTTATCTGTTGGCATGAGTGGTCTCCAAGCTGTTTCACTGTTAGTCCTTCCTGCACTGACCTCCGCCCGCACTAGAGACACTTTGACTGACCTCTGTCCACACTGGAGACACTTGTAGGGCTTCTCCTCCTCGTGGATCCGCAGGTGCTGCTCCAGGGTGGGCAGGTCGGGCATGATCATGGCGCAGACGTTACAGCTCAGACCCGACATGGTCGTCTTGGCCAGCTGTGGGGTGTTGCTGATGACGTCCACCTGATGACGGGATGACGACCGGGGAGGGGGTGTGTTATGTAGCTGAACCTGACTTTGAGGGAAGCATGTGGTGAGGGAGGTCTCAGTTGTCTCAATTTATTTGAAAAAAGATCCACGCAAGCATCAGCGTTTTGCATGGAAGCTGGCAGATTTCAGCAAAATGCGTCGTGGCGAGTGGGGTGGTTTAAGCCTCCTGGGGTACAGGACCCGTCCTCATAACATGTTTTGAGCCATATCGAGGGTGGTGAAGTGCTTAGATAAACCTGCATGTTCAGGTGACGACTTATTCAGACCCATGGTGAAGTCACTGAATGACTTGGAGCTCATTGATGACAAGGTGATGTTTCTTATGCTGCGGGGGTTCACTCTCAAACGAGTTTCTCAAAAGTAAGAACTCACGCCCGGTGCCGGCATGGTGAGTCCCATGCTAAGGTTGTTCAACATGGGCATCATGTACTCCTGGAGCATCTGCATCTGCTGCTGCATGGCGTCCCTCTGGGACGGCGTCATCGCTGTCGGCAGACGGGGGAGCAGCGTCATGGCCTGAGGTCATTGGGCTGGGTCACTTGAGCGCTGAAAGATGGGCGACTTTTATATAAAAGAAAATTTGCATATGCAGGCTTGGCAGCTGAAAATGGTGGGTAGCTAGATCGATATAGAAATATTTTGCACATTGATATGAGCACAAAAAGTGTTCTCATATCTGATAACGCACATGCATTGACTTCAGTGTCGACAGGGGTCTCGGTTTGACACATTGACATTTCTACAACCTCATCAAACCCTCCAAACCCCTAGCCATAAATAGCCGGTACTATGAGCGGTCATGAACTAAATCGAACCTCTACCCAACCCACACAAGAAGCCTAACGCACGCCGACAGGCCACATGCCTAACCTTCAGGTCACAGGGCACAGAGCAAACCATAACAATGGGTGTGGCTTCATGGTCCACTCACCCATGCCCTGGGGTGTGACTCCGACGGTGCTGAGCGCCGCCTGCAGCTGCGGGTCGTGGCTGGACGCCTCCTCCGACAGCAGCTCCGGCTGGCACAGCTGAGCCGGCGTCTCCACCGACTGCTGCCGAACGGAGGCGGATGTAAAGCGCGGCCGCCGGCGGGATTCGAACCCGCGGCGGGGCGGGTGCGGTTTGTTGTGTGGTTGGATGTGCGGCTTTGAGTGTAATTTGAGTGAAACGATGCCTTGATGTTGTCATAAGACCATTGTTTGTGAGATTTGAAGTTTCAATGCTGGGCAGATAATGTGTTGGGTGTGCTCTTTGACCTACATATTCCTAGATTATCTGAAGATAGGTGTCATTCCGAAGGCGATCTAATAAATTTTCGTTGCTTTAAATTGCATACAACTATTTTCGGGTAAATGCGAAGTGTATTTTTACAGTCCGCATGTAGTGAGATCCACACAGATCCCAGGTCCTTGTCCTTTGGTTGTTACAAAAGCCTATGAGATCATATATTTAAGATATATTTTCGTCTGATATTTTTGATTAATCATATCGTGCGTTTTTAGGAAATGTTAAGATCCACAAGGAGCATAGCTCTAATTCTGAGGCTGATGCCTCAGAATTGCGCTTGTAAGCTGTATGACTATGTTTTGAGATCCTGAAGAGTCATCCCTCTGTATGATAGGTACTTAAAAAGTTAGTTCTGTGGTCAGACACACCGACAACGTTAGAGACCATGAGTTGTAGCAGTCTATTTCTGCACCCCTGTCGCGCCCAGTGACCAATGCGACCTTGTGCCCTTGTGTTGCTCCCTCTCTTTCCTTGCACATAAACTTATCCCGCCTCATGTCATGCCCCTCGTCCCTCGATGGCAACTTTTAAAGCTATCATTGGAAGTGCCTGATTATCTTATCGAGTGCGCTCTGATGTATATGTCTATCATTTTGTAATCAGTTTTAATTCGTTCTTAATTTACATTGTATGCTTTTACTTGTCTCTTACTCGTTTATCTTTGTATATTGTAGGTACTGACGCTAAACCGTAAAAGCCACCTTGTGGAAGGTTTAAATACTCTGATACTGATACCTACTGACTGACTGACTGACTTTCTGAAAAACGACTTTCTAAACTAAACTTTTTTTCTGAACTTTCCGTGTTGCGCTCGTCTTTTCCTTCGCTCATTGATGTCAAGTGATTGCCTTTTATGCTGAAATGTCATTGCCATTGACCAAGGTAGGTATGTGCCGACTGTCGAGCTCTATGCGTGGGAATCCTGAAGGCTCAACTACGCTACTTGTTCCCGTCGTCTTGACCAAGTTATACGCATGAACTTGATGTGTTTCGAGTTGATCATTTGTGTTCTGGGTCTACTAGACCCAGCACCTATGCCCGGTGTCGTTCGTCCAAAAGTCCTTGGAGTTGTCCTATTGACCTCTGCTTGTGAGAAGGTCACGCACACCTCTACACTGCAATCACGTTATCATACCACGTCTTCATCCTCAAACCAGTCCGTATCCGAGGGAAACTGTTTATTTGAAGCCATTACTGTACTATAGGATAACCGAGGACAGAATCACCAGAGGCAATATAAAACGGCGGCCGCCGCGGACCCACCCGTGCTGCCATCTATTGTCGCGATAGCTGCGCCATCTGGAGCTGCGGCAGCAAAACAGACAGAGGGTGAGTCCGCGCCGGCCGGCACAAGAAGGTACGGACACTGCAGAAAAGCAAGGGTCGCCTCACGGGAAACCCAAAACCGGACCAGCACCGCCGCAACGCCCGCGGTCACGTGATCAGCAAAGACATGTGACCGGCAGGCGGCGCTGCTGCACTGGTTACTATGGTAACGGAACCGGCCGCGTCCACGCACGAGAAGATCGCACGAGCGCTGGCCAATCCCCGTTATCAGGCATGTAGCTAGTGGATATAGAGGTCTAACCCAGGGTGGCCTGCGCCTGGTAATTTTGACGCGAGAAATTTTGATAAAATATGTTTCGTAGTTATACTTGAGCTGTTGAGCGATGTTTTCGATGAAGTGTATGCCAGAAATTCAGCGGAAATTGGCTCTAAATTTTGCAGAGATGTGTAATGTGCACGTGGGTTCTTGACGCGGCGAACCCCCGTCTGCCAGCCCTGGATTTGACCTCTGGTTGTTGGGTGGTGGCACCGCCGGGTGTCAGTCGAGCACACGCACAGCACGGGACCTCAACACCATCCCTCCCCTGCTGACCGTCACCCGGGGGTTCCACACAGCCCGTCCTAATATGGCCGCGCTGCGACACTAGCGACCCTAGCGGGACGCCGGCGAATCAGCGCGGCGCATAAACTATTGCTGACAGGACAAACAGTGGCTATGGTAGATTACAAAATAGTCCACAGACGGGTCGTTTCAACAAAACACCAGCACCAGACTATTTTTCGTGGCCAGACAGCGAAACGGTCTGCTGGCTCCGACCGTTGACGGCGCATCGCCAGCCGGGCAGTTCTAGATCGCTACGACCCTATTGTACCACGGACACTGCCAACATACGGAGCTATTGAATGCAGTTAATTACTATGGCTTAAACTAGCGTGGATGAGACACTGGACTCCCACACAGGAGAGTTTGCGACGGACGACACCTGGCGACAATGCGGCGAACCGAACCGCCACCTAGCGGGGAGAGTTTCGTTGAACAGGAGAAGCACCGGGCCGCGCAGCGGCGGCCGGCTCGGCCCCAGAGGCGACCCCACCAATCAGGCGCGCCCGCTTGCGTGACGTCACAAGAGCCGGACCAATGGTGGCGGAGAGAACCGGGCGCCCGCTGCAGTCCTCCGTCAGCGCCGGCCAATTGGAAGCGCGCGTTGCGGCTGTTAGCCAATCAGCGTCGGCCATCGCCGTGACGTCACGCGGCGCCCGGGACATGCAGTGAGCTTAACCTATTGTTTACGTGTTTTTGCGATCGGATGATCTCTATGGAGCGACCTCTAGCATTAACATAACAAGTCGACCGGGTGCGGCAGCGCCCGGAGGCACAAGTTCCGCCGGCCGCCAACGGATGGCGCCACTGTGGCCGCCGGGCGCGCCGCCCCGCGGCCGAAGCGGAAAATATCACAGTTATCGCGCGTCGTTGGGCGGCGCCGCTGACGCCACCTAGCGGCGTGCGGCCGTCGGCACGCGCCTCGCGCTCTCACTCTCTCTCGCTCTCTCACTCGCTACAATAGTCGCCGACCCGCGCTGGCTCGCGCCGTCCGCTGGGCAGCGCGCGCCCCGCTCGCGCTTCCTCGCTCGCGCTTGCCGCTCCTTCCGGTATCACAAAACGTCCCTGAACTTGCGCCTCCTGCCGGCTGCGCGGCGCGGAGCGGCAAATCGTGCTGTAGGCCGGGTCTGGACTGGACTGAACCGGATTGATCTGGATTGAACTGGACTGAACTGGACTGGAGCGGTTGAACTGGATGGTGGCTGGGTGGCGGTGGCTGCTGAACGCGCAGAGTGAAAAAGAACAGAGACAGCCGCCGTGCGCACGCGGCCGGCCGGGCTGGGGTGGGTAGCTGCTGTTACCGGAAATAGCTGATTCTAACCGGAAATGGTTGGCTCTAACCGGATATGAACGGACCACGGCACTGCGCGCTGGCCTGGAGGATGGGGGCTACCTGGGGTATGGCGCTGCTAGTGACATCTATCGGATGGGCGGGCGGGTGGGTGGTTACTGCGGTCACCGCTGGGCGGCGCTCCGGGGCAAGTGGCGAAGCAAAGAGCTGCCAAACTACACTGAACTGCTCTGGGTACCGGACTGCGCGGGGTTGAGCTGAACTGGACTGCGGTGGACTGGACTGCGCGCGGGTTTGAGCGGAGCTGAAATGGACTGATCTGGATGGGTTGAGCTGATCTGGGTGAACTGGCTGGGCGGGCGGCAGGCTGTCGGACGGAGCCAGGGCTGAGCTGGACTCCGAGCTGTGGACTTGTGGCGGGGATGGATGGACTGAAGAACCTCACTGCTGCTGCTGACACTCTGCCCCGCACCGACCGGACGAGCGTCCCTGGTGTCGAGAGAACTGGCCCCCAGACAGTGACCTGGTGGCCTTGTGGGAGTGCTCGCTGCATTTCTAAGGTCAGAAATCGTCAACATAGACTTTGCGGCCGGGAGTAAACAAAACAAGTGCATTAATCATCAGTAAGACTCAATTCCTGCACTCCCACAAAATGGGATTTTGAGTGACCACCAATTACATTGATTTTTTTTTAACCAATGACGTAAGACCAGTGAAGTATAAAACCAGTAACGTCACGGTCGGTCCAGGGCAGAGTGTTCCTTGGGTTTCCTGCGATACGTACTGCCAACATGCTTAATCAATCGCTTACGAGCCTTTCCACGTCCTCGGAGAGCCACCGCTAGAATTTCGGGGCACTCCGAGGCGTAACAATACATAGCGAACACACCAAGAACTCTCCTTAAAAATCACATTTTACCACAGGTACAAATTCCCTCCAAGGTACTTCGCGGGACAATATAAAAAGAGGCGCGATTCAGTGCCATGACCCCCGCGGAAAAGTGACGGCGAACGAGCATCGGAAGAAGGCGGATTTGGGATAATCCAAGGGAGCGACAATATAATAATGCCGACAAATGAACAACATCAAACGGTTTTGAACGATAAACATCTTGAATGTGTCAGTGTAAACTTACTATTTACATGTAGATTTTGAGAGAACAAACGAAACTTGGGATGAGCTGAATACGGAGGAACTTGGACAGATACAACTAGGTGGAATTTCAAAGCCTGCAAGCAAGTACTCTAAAATGTCAAGGGTTGCCAGGCCCATCAACTACTTCGAAAATAACACAATGAACCGGTAAAGGTGAGACTAAACTGGTCAGGGAAGTCAATAAGTCGAGGGATGCAAGGGATGCAAATGTAATTAATTGCCTTGGAGTCATGCTGCACTCAGCAAACGCACATTATCTGGCCCAGAATCTGATAAAACGTCTTATGGAGCTATTTCGTAGCAGCCAATCATCACCCAAAGCGATTCCTTCTTTCACAGTATCTGAACATCACAATCCGTTCCCATGGCAAACCGACTAGCAGTTCCAAACCTAACGCCCTCTATCGCCGCTACGCTAAGGCGCAAGTGCAGCATGTCATCACCAGATGGCCGCCGCCGTTCCGAGGGAAGACGCCGAGAAGCCGGCGCTCAGGGACCGTCGGCCAGCCTCGCACGAAGCTGCTCTGGCGAGAACGAAACAGGTGAAGAAATAATTCACAGCCAAACGTTAAATCGAGTCCATCAGCCGCACTCTCGTGTTTGTCGCTGGTCACCGCACCACTGCCATCTGCCGGAGCGTTGTGCAACTAGCGGCCAGTCGACAGAAGAGTGCTCTGATTTAGGCCCGCGCAACCAACAGCCGATTTTGGAGCCCTGAGGGAGAAGACAGCGGGCCATTTCCGACTCTTTCCACAGCCGGTGTAGAACGCACGTGCGCGCTATGGAGACGGGCCTTGCAGTCAAAGCGAAATGAAGCCAACGAAAGCGCTAAAATCACCACGAAAGACTACTCTCGAATCACATAATTGTCAGGAAAGAAACGAAAGCCAAGAAAACTCCGTCAATCCGACAGAGAGAAACGAAAGGGCGAATTTCTTCCCCATGTAGCCACCTCGCTTTTCATCCACACATGGGTATTAGCGCTCGTGTCCCCGTGGCGCGCCTACTGCCACCTATTGTTAACCTTGCGAACCACCGGTCACCCTCGTGTACGCCGAGGTACCCTGATTCTTTTCTAACACTCAAACACGCACTAGTTTAGCACGTTACACTAAGAAAACAAAAACAAGAAAGACTAAAGGCTTGCCCTCCATCACCGCCATCCTGGAAGCAGCTGCACTGGCGCCCCTGGCGGCGACTCTCCGAAGCTCCGCCGGCGCGCCCACTCACTAGGGGGCAGTGCAAGTCTCATATCACATTCTTCGGCGGTCGGCGTCGCCCGATTTGCGTCTTCGGCGGCATTTCTGCGCTTTTCTGCGGACCAAAGCGGACGCCGACCGCCACCGCCAACTTCAGCCACGTCCGGCGTTGTAACGCCGCCTCTTTCACTGCGCCTGCGCAGCTCCCTCATCAGCTATCGGCAGTGGCGCCATCTCGGGCAGCGTTGTACCCGGCAGCGGCATCTCGGGCGGCTCGGGCGCCGCCGGCGACGGGAACGGTCCGACCATGTCGAACCGCCTGCCACCCTCCTGCCGATGGATCTTGGTGTGCGTCTTCAGTATCGACGAGCGCGCAAACGTCTTGCCGCACGTGCGACACTCGAACGGGCGCTCGCCAGTGTGGATTCGCGAGTGGTCTTTGAGATGGTGACGGAACTTGAAGCCCTTTTTGCACCATTCGCAGAGGAACGGCCGGTCACCCTGGTGTACGGGCATGTGATCCATGAGCGCCGCGATAGAGTCGAACATCCTCGTGCAGTACTTGCACGTGACTGGATTGCCGTCCTCCGTGGGTGTCGGTGTCGAGGGCGCCGACCGCTCGCCGGAGGGACTGGCCGCTGGCGGAGAGGTGCCCGGCGTGCCGTCCACCGTGCTCAGGTCGAGCGGCGAGCGGCTGTCGAGCAGGCCGGCCGCCGCGCTGGCCGCCGGGGGCGTCAGGTGTCGGCGCAGACCGGGCAGCAGACCGGGCAGCAGACCCCGGCCGTTGCCAAGACCGCCCAGCGGCGGCAGGAACGGGCTGAGGTCGTGCTGCGGTCGCAGCAGGTGCAGCGGCAGCCGCAGCGGCGGCTCGCGCCGGTCACCGAGCAGCGGCGGACGCTCCCACGGCAGCCGCTCGGGCAGCTCGAGGCGCGGCTCGAGGCGCGGCTCGAGCCGCTCGCCGAGCCGCTGCGGCTCGAGTCGCGGTTCGAGCCTCTCCCCGGCTGCCATTCTAAGCGGCTCGAGGCGCTGTTCGAGACGCTCGCCGGGCCGGTGATCGTGCGGGGGCCAACTGTGCGAGTGGACCGGCTCGTCGGGTCTAGAGTGGGGCGGCGCGCGGCCCGGCGGCTCGCGCACCACCGTCTGACGCTCAGCGGCCACGTGTGCGGCGGCCCGATGCGCGCGCAGCTGGTGCTGCGAGCCAAAGCTGAGGCCACACTCTGGACACAGGTAGGTGGTAGCACCTGATGCCATGCCCTGGAACGGACGAGAGTGAGAGTCAGCACCGGCGGCTGCCACCCATCCGAGAGAGAGAGAGAGATAGAGAGACTACGGAGGAGACTACGGACTGTGCGCAGACACGCACAGAGAGAGACTACGGATAGACTGCTAAAGGATAGAGACTGGAGGACCTGAGAGGCCGAGGACCGCGCACAGACATCGTAGGTGGAGAAGGAATTGAAAGGTGCAAATATTGGTGGGAAACACAGAGATCACAAAAGACTACAGATACAGAAAGGCAGCTCACCAAACAAAACTACGAAAACTATAACTACAAATAGACCATGAAACCAAGTGAGAATCGAACAGATAATGATATAACGGAAAAGGATGTAGGAAAAATTGACACCGAAGTAAATAAAACTGAATACCAAGTGTTTCAAATGAAAGGATTGATGGGATTCTTCAACAAGATCAATGGATGGAACATCAATGGAGGCTCTCGCAAAGTACACTCAACACTCCACATAATACGGGGGCTTAACATGGTCATTAAAATAGCGTGGATTAGTCGGAGATTAATGGAAGAAAGATGTCGCCCCGAAAACCGACCCTGGCAATGCCAAACTTGAGAGGCTAAGGAATATATCCAGTTATGTCAATGACTATGATATGGATGTGGTTTTCCATGGACAAGTGTTCGACATGTTCAGTATTTAAGAATGAGCGATTGGAAAACCAGGTGAGTGGTTACATTATAATTTTAACGGATGTATCAGCATAGGAATCACATAACGTGTTACGCGTTCGTCCACACTCAGCTCCATGCTTTTGATGCAGCAATTTAAAAGACGTAAGGTGGCTCCTAGAGAAATTTCGGTTTCGTTTCGTCACTTTTCATCACACCGTTCGTCTCTTTGGCAGTGTGAAAAAAAACGGTGAGAAATTATGCGTAATGGGGGACTCTAAAAATCTGACTCCGTGGAGTAATTTTGTTGCCTCGTTTTCTCATCTGGCAGTACCGGCCTTCCGATGTTGGAATTTGGAAAGCAATGTGGGACGAGTTGCTGAATGAATGACACACCATTGGTGGAACTGGAATCGAATCGACGAATTGGCGTGGTCTTGCCCAGCTATGTGAGCACAATAAACTTAAGCTTCTAAATTTTGCCGACTGCGAAAACTTTCGATCGGACGGTAAATGCAAGGAACACATTCGGCTCCTCCGCCTGGGATGGTTAATCGTCAATTCAAAATTCCAGCTTGAGAAGGAAGACTCGATAGCCACTGGCAATTCCGCATCCCACGCAACAAAGTTTCGGTTTGCAAAGTTTGTTGCGCATTGTTCTCAATGGGGCAGCAAAACAAACAGTAGTTGCTATTTTAGGATCCAGTCATGTGGTATCCAGCAACATAGGTGCCCAGTCTCGGCCGAACTTTGCCGTGCTCCTCGCCCTCTCCTAGCCGGGGTCGTTCCCTACAGCGCACGCCGCTCGATGCTGCCCCCCCCCCCTGCCCCGCATGGGACGGGGGGTGGGGGCTGCGCGCCACCACAATCAATAAGGGTGATAAATCAGCCGGCTACAGCAGTTCCACTCGTCTGCGTACAGATGGCAGCACCGGCGACGCAGCCGCCGTCAGAAGTTTTCGTGACGCAGCGGCGGCAAAGGGCGGTGACGTGGCGTGGCCCAGCCAAAGCGCTTTCAAAGCAGAGACTGATGATGCAGTGTAAGTTGAAAAAGGCAGCGCATGAAAAATGTCTGGGTAATCTGGTTACTTTGAAACTGGAGAAATTGATACGGCCGAAATTTGATCACGATTAATTTTTGAGAACAAGAACTATCCTTTATTTGCAAGCATTAAGTTGAAAGGGAGAAGTATGACAATTTTCCGAAAATCAATGGAGCTTGTCAGGTTTCAGGGTCTGGATAGACGGAGTACTTTCATTCGCCAAGCCAGATTCGAAAAGGCAGGAGTCTGACCATCACTGAGAGGAATATGGACGCACAGTGTTAGAGCTCCATTAAAACCACCGCACACCCATAGACAGAGAACAGAGACAGAGACAGAGAAGAGACGGATGATAAGCGGTGGTTGAAAAGCGAAGGGCGCAGGGGACAGCTAGAGCTCGTGAAGCCCCAGGGCATGGCTGGCAGTCAGGGTACCCTCTACCTGGTCCTGAAACAGAGTGGGCACAGCGGCACGGCACGGGCACGGCACGGCACGGGCACGGCACGGCGCGCGATCCGACGCAGGCGAGCGCAGTCGAGCAGAAGTGTAAACGGCGGCCCAAAATGGAAATGTGGTGGCGTGTTGGGTTATGTGGTAGGTGTATAGTGTTAGCAGTGGCATTGTTTTGCTGAAAGAAAAGTGGAATAGCGAAGGCAGAAACAAGCAGACTTGCACGCCCTGAAATATTACCCGTGTGCGTCTGACAATATGTTAATGTTACACTTACATGTAATTGATTTCATCGTCTTTATTCATACGTACATATATAGCAAGGTTGCTTAAGTAGACACCCACGGTTTTTCCACATTCGAAAATAGAATAATGATAACACAAAACCTAAAGTAACGTCTCTTTCCCCAGGGTATTCCATTTTCACCAGTCACATAGATATAAACTGAATATATTGCATGAATTTATTTGAATATATTGGAATCATATTATATGAATAGCTATATAAATGGCTATAAATGCATTAGGTACGGGTTGAACCGCCTTTCCACCATTACTCCCCGTCAATGGTAATGCACCTGCCATCGAACTCTGTCGCTCCCGAAGCTTCCATGTCTGTTACAGTAATCCACAATACCGGATAGCGACGGCAGACCGTTTGACCGGGCCAAGGTGCTATTTCTGACCCCCTGCTGCCAGGTCATTGTCATTCAGCAGCTAGCCGGATAAGACGGAACAAGGATAGGGTTATGCTAGTTGTTTGTGTCATCTCAGTGGGAAATTATGTTTTTCTTTGTTTTCCATGATGAGTGTTATTCTAGGGTAGTCGAAATTCCTTTAGGCTGGTTGAAAGATCAGATATTTCCATGTGACCTGCAGAAGTCATGAGATTGTTCTGATAGGTTGTTTCTCGACTAGCTTGAATAATCGGCGACAACATGCGAGAAGTCACTGTTATTTCGCGAGGTTCTGTATTTTACGCTGAACCGTGTGTATCTACCGCTCTGGAGGTTGCCCTTCATCACATCACGACTAGCGGACCGGACTGACCGTTACCCCTGACATGGTGTGGTGCAGTTATAGGCGTCGACCCCGGCGGTAGTATAATTTAGCAGACACCCGCGATCACAACTGCCCTGTACATCGCGCCCGATGGCACATTACACAACAAGCATTGCCCATCGAGAACAAATAAACTCCAGCACCAATGTGCTGATGACAGTTATGACAATTGCCAGGAGCCCTCAACGTCGAGTTGTGGTTTGAAAACCAATGAACGGTGGGTGATTTCTACACAATGGCTCGCCTCGAATAGGAGTTTGCTTGCGTTTGCAGAGTTAAAAATAACTCTGTAACCAATGGCATGCGATCAGCACCCTGTAGGCGCCCCGGGATGGCAGACGCCAGGTCAGGCCTGTGGTTACAAGTATCCACTGGCTAGGTCAGCAAGGTCAGGGGAAGGTCACTACTGGGGAGTATTGTATGTACGAGACGACCGGCGCAACTGGAGCTGCAAAGATGACGCAGCGCTCCAAGGTTATCACCCTCAGCGGAAACATAACCCCCGTGGCGACAACGCCACCGAAGGTTTGTTTATCAAGTGGAGAAAAGTACCATCAAGGGTTCTGCCTGCATCGCGTCGTGAGGCATGTTGCGATGCACTTAGCTGGCAAACTATCCCGCCAGGCTGGTTTTCAGAATACTCCACCCATTTCCAGGGGTCGACGCCTGCCCCGTCTGAGCGAGTGTTGTCACAACAGACGTCGTGGTCGTGGCCTTTTCACGTCGCGCGGCCGCCACTTGACAGCAGTTCGATGTCGCCACTGCAGAGAAGAATGTCGTGAATCGACCGAAACTTGGCCTCTGTGTGCCAAGGTGCTCTGTTTTTGTGATGTGAACAGGTGCAAACTGATGTATGTTTGCACAGGTCAGGTCAAGGTGCACAAACTATGATGGGGGACCCGGTGTTCGGCCATCGCGGCACAAGGGTTATGCCCCTGGTCTAGGGAACACATGACGCTGCTGGAGGTCCACCAACCTTGTGGTTTTCATCACCCCCTATTTTATAGACTTCATGGGGGGGGGGGTTGCACCAGAGTGAAGGATCTACCTGAACACTCAAGCGTAGAGGACTCTGCTATAGGCAGCATATTCCTGCAGGGATGTCCTATGCTAATGAACTTCTCTTGGCGATTACCATCGCCCTGAGGTTAACGACAGATAAGGTGAAATTGCCAAAATGATTCTATATATTGTGAACGCTGCAACGACGTCAACAACAGAGATGTGTGACGGTGCCTCCCCTGTCATAAGATCAGGCGTATTTCCTATGGGACAACCACGTGCCACCTGTATTGCATAAGCAAGCGGCAATAGTTGGGCTAGAGACCCGATTGACGACATCTGGAGGGTGTCATTTATCTAGTGAGATGACTGGGGAGTGGCGAGGTAAACGAGCCAATGGTGAGAAGCAAAACGTTCGTCGCATTCCTAGAAAAATAAATGAAATTCACCCTGCACTGCCAACTGGTGTAGGAGCGAAATAAATTCGCCATTTGTATCAATCCCACTTCGAATTATATCTGCGAAGTTCATCTCCTGAAGCCCAGGCTTCAGGGTGGTGGTGGCGGTGTGTCAGTCACGTTTCTGGGCCACCTGCGGGCTGCCGCCTATCCGAGGCGTTGGGTGGATCTGTTCCATCTCTGATCTGGACCCGTCTGAGTCACGACAGGACTCAATTATGGTCGGGCCGCTGATGGAGAATGTCAATGACTCGCCGGGAGGAGCCACGGAGCGCTCAGAGAGGGTCGGTAACGCAGCAGGGTGGTTGGGCGTGATGACAGGAGTTGGTAGAT